CGGGGCGGCTCCTCTCTGGCAGAGGAGCTCCCTGCTGGACGGAGCCTCCACCTGTGAGGCTGACTTCTACACCCCCGAGCTCAGAGAGTTCATCACCCCCTGGGAGCCGGCGAAGGTGAGACGGCAAAGACATGTTAATTCTGTTTTATTTTGACTGAATGAGGAATGTGAAGGACATGTTGAGGTCATGTTCTTTTGAAATAATTTTTTTTTAAAAAGCTCTTGAAATAGATTTTGTTCCAAGAACTAAGGATCGGAAGGTTAACACAAGGGTTGGAAAACTTTGAAAGGGGGAAACTGTGATTTATTTGTATTCTATTTGAATTGATTCACAATCTCCTTAATCAGGGATTACTTGCAAAGTGAACACATACATAACAAACAACAGACTTCAAACAAACATCAAATTACGTCAACTAGTTAGTTGTCATTATACACTAACAGGAAATGTGCACTCAGTGGTCAGTTATTCCTCCCTCCTGTTTTTTATTATAGATCTTTCATGATTATGAAATCGTCTAGTTTAAGACCCTTCTAAAGTATGGCTCAAACCAAGATGAGGGCGCAAAAAACATTCAGTACCAGCTGCTAATTAACCCGATCACAGCTGATTTAAATAAAAACTTTTCTCCTCCATTTTATTTTAGAAGGATGCAGCCTCCTCCAGCACCATAACCAGGCCTATCTCTCCTGTTCTACCTCTGAGTGAAGGAGCTACTGTCACAGGGACCGGGGTCTCCATTCTTCCAGCCTGCACCCCCCAGACGGCCCCCTCCACCCCAGGGGCGGGGCAGCTTCCAGCAGGCAGCCAGGCTGTCCTGATGGATTTGATAGAGCTGGCTGAAGACGGCGTGACCCTCACTCAGTATGGTCGCACCGCCCCAGGCCCGAGCAAAGGTAAACACACCGATGTTGGGGAAATACAAACCTATCTAATGGTGACTGACAGTTGCTCTCTGGTTAAACCTGACATTTTAACAAAAAGTTGGAGAGTCTTATAAAACATTTGCTTTAGAATTATTTAACCATGCGCATTAAGTGCTTGCCCAAAAGCTTGTGTTTGTTTACAAACTAAATACATGAGCACAGTTAGGGGTTCCAACCGAAAGTCTGTTTCTTATAAGCTAAACATTTATTTGTTATATAAAGTACATAAAGTGTTCATTATTGTGTGTCCATATTTAGAATTATATCTGAACAAATACGTTCTCTTTACTTTCTATCTGCAAAAGCATTTTCTTAGCCATAACTGTCCCAAGAAGATTACATTCCTCAGTATATTAAGCAGAATAACACAACTTTTATAGAATCTCGATGAAAATGTATTTTATGTTATAGTTAAGAAATCTGCATTGTTTTGGTGAAATGAAATACAAAATGGTTAGATATTTCTTCTAAAGTAATGTTTTTGATAAATACCTGTTTTATGAATTTAAGTTTGTCTGTGATAACATTTGGGAGACACTCCCCCACACACTGTATTAAGTAGTGATTTAACGGGTCCTGATGTGTCCTTCTTCCCCCAGATAAGAGTGGCAGTCAGATCACGACCCTCCGTCTGAGCGGCTTTGTCCTAGAGGAGCCTGAGGAGCCGTCCGACCTCGGTGTGAGCGGCTTCCTGCCAGAAACTGCACACACACATCCAGACGCTCACATCCGAGCTAGGAGGAGGACGGATCCTTCAGGGACCGATCAGGAGCGCCAAACAGTAAGACTGCTCGTAATCACACTTCATCTGACATTTGACATGGATCCTGAGCTCACAATTTTCGTTTGTTTTACTGGCCTTATCTTGTCAGATGCATATGTGAACTACAGGAAATTATTTTCTTTAGTAAAGGTAAGATTCTTTCCAATGTAGTGTTTCATAAGCAACTACTAGATATGTTTTACAGTCCCCTTTTATATTACTTCTTCTTTATCTTATTTCACTTTAAGAAATGCGAAATACTTGATTCAAAATCTACTTTTCTCATACTGCAGATTAAAAAAAAAAAGTTTTTACCGATTTATTTCTTTACGAAACATACGTAAACGTGCACTGAATGTACAACAAAAGAAAAGAAAAAACAACGCTGGGCATTATACTCCCTCACCTCTTACACAGCAGGTGGAGGTTTTGAAGGCCTAAGGCGTGTGTCTCAGAAGTGTTGCTAACATCTGCAGAGGAATTCAAATATATTGTTTTGGGGAAATCTACACCAACACTCAGATAAAACGAATGGAGTGGAATAAGAATGCAGACACGCTGCATTCGGCATCCAACAGAACGTTGTTTAATAACTGTAAAGTTGGGAGAGTTAATTTAAGATTTCTAAGCCCCAGAAATGTGACTCTGTCTTTCTTAGAAGCATTTCTCTTCATTAGTGTCCTGTAAGTCTGTTGTGTGACAAAGACATTTTCTACAGATGAAGCATGCAGTATTGTATGCCTACTGGGCCTTCACATATTATTGTCTAACGCACTGACTTCTCTGTGTCCTCTGGTGTTCCCCTGAAGGCAGCACAGAGCAGACTGACCTCAGATCTGAGCAGCATGGTGAACAACCCTCAGCTCAGCGACCTGCAGCTGCAGGTGGACAATGGAGACGTCTTCTTCGCTCATTCCTTCATGGTGTACGCTCGATGCCCCCTGCTGGCTGAAATGGTAACTTCCATCACTGCGTGTTGCACAACACAGCGCTGATAATACCAGAACCAGGACTGCATGATTTTTTTATTATAGGCTTTTAAATTAAACATGTTGTATAACTGAGTCATTTCACCTCCTCATATGTTCACCTATTGGTCTAACACTTTGTTTTTATAGAGGTGGGTTTCTGTGTGAGTATTTTGTAATGAAAATAATCTGTGTTTTTAATTTTTATCAGAGCTTTGTCCAAACAGATGCATTAACAATTTGTGATAGACAGGAAACATTTTTTTTTTTTTTATTAGGAATGTCTGTACCATGTCATTTTGTTTCACGTTTGCAGAAAACTGCAGAGCAAACCGTTTTTTTCAGCAGTTAAATAGCGAGAGATGGATTTGAGCGTTGTATTTTGTTGATGTGTTGTACATTTTGTAAATCATGATTTATGTTTTAAATTAGTTTTGAGCTTTACAACACACAGTTATTTAGACATTTTCCGATTACACAAGTTAGAAAAATTCACACGCAGTTCATGAAATGTAATTTGACAAATGCAATAGTGGTAATAATATTATTGGGGTTGCCTAATCTTCATATTAAAAACTGCAAATCATTCAAGCTTCAAACTGTTTGCAGCCGTATCAGTTAGTGAGCACATGTTTCATAAGGTTTACAATGAAACCTCTCCTCTCCTCCCTCTGCTCCTCTCTCAGGTACATGAAAGTGGTTTTGGGGTACAGGAGGAGGGGTCTCCTGCAGCTCAGAGGGTTCTGGTGAACGACGTCCCGGGACAGGCCGTGTTAGCTCTGCTGCAGTACCTCTACACCGCCCGCTGCTCCATCCCACCGGCCCTTCAGCCTCATGTCCTGGAGCTAGCATCCAGGTTAGTTTTCAGTATACAAGCCAGGACATTAAACGCTTCTTTGACTCACAATTTAAAACAATTTGGGTCTGGTTAGTTGCTGTCTGACTTTAATGCACATAATCACAGTCAAACATGTCATTTCAAATATCAATTTGAAGTTCATATGCTCTCACAACATTTCTAGAAAGCCATTGTTACCAAGATAAGATAAGATAGGACTTTATTCATCCCGAAGGAAATTCTTGTGCCAGAGTTCCAAAGATACAATAAACACAGCAGCATAATAATAAAACTGTACACTAACAGTGCATTAAAAAGAGCAATTAAATAACTACAAATTCATGGCTAAATGTATTTACTATAATACATCTTTGTTGTTATGAGGTTGCTTTATTTTATTATTTATTTATTTATCTTAACATAAGTGAAGTGATGTGTTTCCTTGACAAAAAAACATTCATTTCTCACATAAGTATAATCTCTGAATATTCCAGATTTTTTCTTGTAAATATACGACTGTGGTCTTTGAAACTTGTGTTTTGCCTCAGAATACTACCCCTCGCCCAACCTTAATTACTATTTAGTTATGAGATGTTTTTATCATCTATTTAAAGTTTCTAAACAAATCTAAATTGGTTTTCTGTGAGAAATATATTAAATAAAGTGACGACCCTTTTGTGTTTGCTCAGGTTTGACCTGCAGGAGCTCCAGCAGCTATGTGAGCCGGAGGGCTTCCTGAACCAGGAGGAGGACGCCAACGATCAGATGCAGCAGACCCTCAACGAGCTGCTGCGCTCCATGTGGGACGAAGAGGTGAACGAGGGCGGGGACACAGACGGAGGAAGGGAGGAAGAGCGAGAACTGGAAGACGATCATCAAGCCGAGGACCTCGCATCGGGTGACAGAGAAGAGGAGAAGGTGAACGAGGAAGAGCTGGAGGAGATCTATGAGTTTGCAGCAACGCAGAGAAAAAGGGAGGAGGAAGACAGCATAGAGGAGGAAGAGGAGGAGAAGGTAGAAGAGGAAGAAGGTGGAGATGATGTTTTCGCCGAACTAACAGAACCTGAAAAAGGCTCAGCGGGCTTCAACGAAAAAGAGCATTTGCAACCGGACCCCAGCCTGGAGCGCAGCTACAGCCGCCTCTTCTCCGACTCCTGGGGGGTCTACGAGGAAGACCCTCCCTCCGTACCCTCCACATCCGGCCTCGCTAGAACACACACTCCTCAAGCCCCACAATCCCCTCATATACCCTCTCTTCACCCGTCCGGAAGAACTTTGCTCCAGTCTTCAGTGAGTGGTGTGGAGGACCTCTCCCACAGTGCCCAACCCAGCACCTCCACCCTGCCCATCCCGGGTCTGTCTCCTGGGCTCGGGGGGGGCGGAGAAGAGGGGCAAACTTTGAATCGAGAAAGCCAAGGTCGGCGTAGTATTCCCGTTCCCCACTCCCTAGTTTCACCTCAGAAAAATGAGCCTGAGTTAATAGTTTTGTCAGACTCGAGCGAGGACATGGAGGTCGTTCTTATTGCCCGCAGTCCTTCCCCACCTTCCCCTTACCCCGTCCAGACTCACACCACCTACACCCAGATTAAACCCAATGACCCCACCCTGGAGAATAAACAGAGTGGCAGTTTAGAGTTGAGTCCGGATGGAGAGCCGGGTCAGAGTCCTTCAGATCTGTTTGGCTGTTCTCCAGAAGTTTCCTGGCTGATCCCCTCCACGCCTCTCCAGACAAAGAGGGTCTCCACCAGCAGCTCCACGCAGACTCAAAGCAGCATGTGCAGGACGCAGCTGTTCCCTAAAGCAGACCCTTCCTCCCTCTCATCCTTCTCTCCCCCTGCTTTACCTTCTAACGACAGACCGCACACCTCCAACAGTCCAACCAGAGCTTCATCTCGCGTTAGCCCGACGGAGGCTAACGCGTTAAAACTGGACTTCAGTTCTAGAAGAAGCAGCTCTTCTGATGTGAGTAAAGACAGAGGAGTGTTTGCACTTCCCCTGTCCCAACCTAAGCTCTCCATCTCCTCAAAGCAGGGTACCCCCCTCCACCTCCAGACTTCCAGCCGGCCTTACAGCAGCACTCCCCTGCACACGGAGCTCCACAAAGCCCCCGACCTCCTGACCACCTCCCCACTCCACAGCAGCTTCGATAGGAGCTGGACGAGTCAGGGAAAGGACAGGGCGCCATGTGAGAGCCAGGAGAAGACGGAGCTTGAGAGCTTTCATCTCTCGCCGCTGTCGGACCCTTCAGATCCACCCTCGTCTTCCTCTCTCAGAGGCCATCAGAGACACAGCGAGTCCTCGAGTCACAGCCGGCGCTCTGTCGACAGTCACAGCAAAACAGGGTCTGAGCTGGAGAGGAGGGGGATGAGACTAGAGGAGGGACAAGGAGAGACGGAGTGCGGAAATAGAGTCGATGAAGCAGAAACTGGAGAGGCAGAAGTCGCTGAGTCCAGTTTCAGGCAGAGCTTCATGGACGAGCCCCCCATGGCGTTCAACGACTCGTGGGGTCTGGGCGCCTGCGGGGACGAGGACCCTGGCTGCTTCAGTCTGAGGCTGGAGGACAGCGGGGCGTCCAGCCAGGGAAAATACCCTCCGTCCTCCACCGAGCGGCAGCATCCCCCCCCCAGCCTCAGGCCCGCCCCCTCTTCATCCAAATCCACTGCTCATAAAGACGTCTCCTTCACGCCTTCACCCCCTGATCCCCCCACCCACAACACACCAGAGATCGTGAACAGCCTCCTGGACTCTAAAATATGGGACAGCTGGGAGGAGGAAGAGGAGGAGGAGGCTCTTCCTCTCTGTCAGAGGCTGAACCCCCCCGCCCAGCTCAAAACACCAGGTGAGTGATTTCTCTCTCCCAACTGGAATGCTGATGTTTTGTGATTTACTAGAGGCACAATCGGGTGTTTTGTAAAACTGTATCCTACAAAGATCTGAGCACATGACAAGCAGAAAAATGTATCTATTGCCACTTTAACTGGCTACATCTCTGATAACCCATTAGTTTCTCCATAGTTTTGTCAATGTTCTCTTCCTAAAGTCACCATCTTTAAATGTGTGGTTTTGTCTGATCGACAATCCAACATGACTGGATGATAAATGTTTACAAAATTAGCTCATTTAATTTTCTCTCTACACTAAAAACTGAAACATTGACTTTAATTAAATGTATTATTTCAACAAATGACACATAATTGTATTATAGTACTGTTAATCAGGTTATCAGGAGAGCTCAAATGAAATGCTTAAGTTAGCTGCTAAATTAACACACCAAACATGATCGGTGTTTAACTACTACTAGTGGAGTGTTTTATTTTATTCCCGTGAATGATTGGCCAAACGAAAACAATATTTGTTGAGCATTGTAACATTTTTGATGACAAAAACCTTTGTGATTTGCATTTACAGTCAGACAATTCCTTCACAAACAATCAACCTAAATAGTTCCAGTATTAATACATGCTGTAGTAGGAAAGGGATGCGTACAGTTTAATCAAACAAAACAACCAATATCCCCTGAACATTATGTACATGGTATCTCAGTGTGGGAGAGGGCATCTGTTTGTTTTTTGTTTTTTTCAGGGAGATTCAGGTCTGGATTTAACTAAAGCAGTATCTAACTTTGAACATTTGATTTGGCTGCATTCAGTTGTCTTTAATGTATGCAATTCTGATGCCAAATTGACACTGCAATGTCCAACAATCTCTTCCTGTTTGTGTCTCATCAGTACCATCGCGTAATAAAAGGCGCCACACCCTGGTACCCATCACCCCCCTGCCCCACTACTCAGACATGGACACCCCGGAGCTGAAGACCAAACTCAACAGGTAAGGTTTACTGTCAGCCCTGACGCTAAAGAAGGGGTGAATAACTGCAGGGGGTCAAATTTGTTTTTCTCTAATAAAGGCTATTAAGTGAGGTGCCTATCCTCTTACCTCCCACGGTGTGACTGCCAGATTAGTCTTTCTGGCTGTCTCCAGCCATCTGTCTGATTCTTACTTTCTCCTCTGCGCAGGTTTGGTGTTCGGCCTCTACCAAAGCGCCAGATGATCCTCAAACTGAAGGAGATCCACCAGTACACACACCAGCTGGTCAGCTCCGAGGAGGAGGAGGCGGCCCCCTCGGCTCAGACCAAGCCCCCTCCCGCCTCTTCAGCCTCCTGCAGCCAGCGAGTGCAATTCAAAGAGCCCCAAGCGCCCGCTGCTGTCTCCCCTGTGAAAGCCGGCAGAGAGGAGGCGGAGCTTCTGTCGGCCTCCCAAGGCTCCAACACGTCCTCCACCGCCGCCAGCGAGGAGTCTGAGAGGTACGAGGTCTCCTCCAGTGTGTGGATCAACTCAGGTGGTTCATATGTTCAGAGGGCTCAAGCAATACTTTGTAAACTCATACTTAATATGACACCATCCCTAGACGTCCCAGCACACAACTGCACACTGAGAATACAAAATATGGACTTCTTTCAAATGGATCGATAGGTGTAAATATTTATAATAAATAATAGCTGCTTTATTAGCATATTTATTCAAGTTATTTAGTCAACTTAGTTGTAAGAGAAAATTATAAACACTTCTTAGTATCACCTTCCTAAATTTGAGTTTATTTGCTTTTCTAGATAAAATACAGTATGTAATTGAATGTTCAAGTTCTTTGGGTTTCGGACTGTGGATCAAACATGTATGTCCCTTTTTTAAATAATTGTACGTAGGCTATTCAGTTACACTTTTATTGTCTTAGTTGAAAGAACAACAGAAGATGAATGTATTAGAAAGATTATAGGCGTTACGTATTGGTTAGATTAGGACATAATCTATAAAATTGTGGATTCTAAAAGTTAATCATTATTTATTGAGCTGCCGAAAAAAACAAATTTCAGCATAATTTTATGTTTTTTTCTCAGACTCATCAAACTGACACTTTGAAAATCACTGGTGTATGTCACTCATTGATTTGAATGATTTATTTAGAAAAATAATGGTTTCAAAACTAGTATTCATTCATGTTAATAAAATATTGTCTATTTGGGAACAAGTTTGTATTTGTCTCTTCTGGGCAAGTGTTTCTAGTGGACACAGCTTTGGAAATAAGGGTGACAAGCCGTTGTATTGTCACCTTAATATGGTACTAGCAGCTTTGAAAAACATTAATACAGTACTTGCATCTCCCCTCTCTCCCTCTCTCTCCGCAGGTCCAACCCTGAGCTGTGCCTCTTCTCAGACTCTGACAGTGATGGCGGCCTCTCTGCCTCCCAGTCAGTGAACCGCCTTCAGGATCGCCTCCAGGCGGTGCGCTCCTTCATCCTCTCAGACTCCACCCTCTACAGTCAGATCCTCCAGTACCAGCCTCTGGTCTTGTCGCAGCTGAAGGAGCGTCTGAAAGCAGCAGGGATCCGCCTCGCTGCCACCAAGCTGGTGGACTACCTGGACTCTCAGTGCATCACCTTCACCACGGCCAAGCCGGGACCCCGCGCACCTAGCCGCTGGCGGGGCAAGAAAACTGGTACCGGGGCAAAGGCAGCAGGCAGAAAGAAAGGTGTTGCAGCCAACATTTGAAAATGTATGACTGCAAAGACACTTTGAGAGGTGGCTGGTGTTATTTAAGTGCTTTGAACATTTGTCTGAAAATAACTGGTAGAAGAGGCCATGTTTGTTATGTGAAAGATGCCTTTTCTTAAGGATTGCCTTTTGCTTTTACCATGTTTTTCCAAACCATTTAAAGACGCCAATGTTACTTTACGGCAGTAATTATTAAGTTGTTTTTTTTTATAAAAGAAAATGTTAATGTTGTTGTGGGCTATTTTACTTTTTAACACACTCCACTTGTGTATGCGATAGTAATAAAAAATGACCGCAATAGTCATGCATTGTAAAACCTTCTGTAAAATGTGCCCCGGTTTACAATAAATTAAATCACACAAGACATTTTTCTTTAAAAACATTTTACTTGTTTTGGTCTTCAGTAGATTTCTACCCAAAGATCAGCCTAGACGTACAAACAGCCCAGAACACTTGGTTCACAACTTCTATCAGGTACTTTGTTCATACCAGCGCAACCTCGTGTCAGCGCTGTCAGAGTTCAGTCATCTCGCTGTCGTTGCACCAGCGGGGGGGGGACAGTTTGTGTTGTGCACCCAGTTATCTCTACAGCAGCGTGAAGCACAGGGCATCAAATCAAATTACGCACAACCCAACGCAGGGCCTGGAGAGTCACTCGCCTCCTCTGCGGTCTTGTGATGCCCTTATAAGGGAGCATCGACGCGGTGCTTCATGTCCCGCCACAAAGCCTCACTCAGTCAAGACAGATTGGCAATGTTGGCAAGGAAGCGCTGAGCCCACCACTCCTCCAGGTCTATGGGCACAAAGTCTGCAAAGAAACAAAAACAGGAGAAAAAGAATTATCCGTGATCTATGATTGATTGATTCATTATTTAACACTGGAGCACAACAGGGCTGCATGTTGAGCCCCCTGTTTTTATTTCAAACAAATCAAGGGTTGAACTGAGCAACCACGCATAGTAGTTTATTATTATTTTACTGAGTAACTGATGAAGTTACCCGAGACAAACAGATTGGACATTTATAAATGTTTAAACTTTAAACCAGACTAAGGGTCTGCGGCCATGCTAGCTGCTCTGTGAGGCTGCACTTTGAGCTAGCATGGCGATGTTTAATATTCATATATTTACCAAACTAACATTAGTTAATTAGCACAAAAAACTAAGTACAGCAGAGCCTGATGGAAATGTAGTTGCAGGTATGTAATCATAAACCAAAGAATTGTTAAATTCATATTTCACTTATTACAATTCTAGGGAGAACATGAATGCCTTTACTAACGTGACACCATCCACTATTAGTTTAAACTCTTCACCACAATTGTCAACCTCATGTTGGTGCTAGAGGTAGACTTAATCAAATAAATGTAATAGAAAATGCTCTTTAATGAATCTGTCACAGTCACTAGAGGTTTCTCAATACTCTAATTTCCCCTCCTCGACTCCTATCCTCGATACTTAGTCCCGCCCACAGGAGATGCGAGCGGAGGACTGAGGAGGAGAGAGGAGGGGAAGCAGCAGGCGGTTAGAGAAATGAGAACTCCTTTCCTCTGAGCGGTCATTTTAAAGAGACGTCCATCAATGATGACAGGAGGCACAGCAGCCCTCTGTCTGATGGACAGATGTGTTCATGACGACATATATACAGTTGCAAGAAAAGTATGTGAACCCTTTGGAACTACCTGGATTTCTGCATAAATTGGTCATAAAATGTGTTCTGATCTTCATCTAAGTCACAACAATAGACAAACACAGTCTGTTTAAGCTAAAACCACACAAACAATTATATGTTTTTATGTTTTTATTGAACACACCATGTAAACATTCACAGTGCAGGGTGGAAAAAGTATGTGAACCCTTGGATTTAATAACTGGTTGACCCTCCTTTGGCAGCAATAACCTCAACCAAACGTTTCCTATAGTTGCATATCAGACCTGCACAACGGTCAGGAGGAATTTTGGACCATTCCTCTTTACAAAACTGTTTCAGTTCAGCAATATTCTTGGGATGTCTGGTGTGAATCGCTCTCTTGAGGTCATGCCACAGCATCTCAATTGGGTTGAGGTCAGGACTCTGACTGGGCACTCCAGAAGGCGTATTTTCTTCTGTTGAAGCCATTCTGTTGTTTATTTACTTCTGTGCTTTGGGTCGTTGTCCTGTTGCATCACCCATCTTCTGTTGAGCTTCAATTGGTGGACAGATGGCCTTAAGTTCTCCAGCAAAATGTCTTGATAAACTTGAGAATTCATTTTTCCGTCGATGATGGCAATCTGTCCAGGCCCTGAGGCAGCAAAGCAGCCCCAAACTATGATGCTCCCTCCACCATACTTCACAGTTGGGATGAGGTTTGATGTTGGTGTGCTGTGCCTTTTTTTCTCCACACATAGCGTTGTGTGTTCCTTCCAAACAACTCAACTTTGGTTTCATCTGTCCACAGAATATTTTGCCAGTAGTGCTGTGGAACATCCAGGTGCTCTTTTGCAAACTTCAAACGTGCAGATCAGAACACATTTTATGACAGCAGTGGCTTCCTAAACGTGCAGATCAGAACACATTTTATGACCAACTTATTCAGAAATCCAGGTAATTCCAAAGGGTTCACATACTTTTTCTTGCAACTGTATTTACTTTTAATTAATTGACAGTGCAGTATAATGAGACAATAACAGGCTACAGATGTGGACATATACACACACATATTTATAAAAATATATACAATTTCAGAATCAAACTATTATGAGAGCACTCATAATAACGTAACACAATCAGAGACTGGATATAGTTGTGCGTAACGCTTCCACCGTTCCCGGAAATGCGTCCGCGGAGGAGCCGTGGAGGACCCATCAGTGTCTCCTCGGTTAGAGCTCCTCCAGAGAGCCTCCTCGATGCTCGATGCTCGGTCCTCGATGTGCATTTAGAGAAATTAGATGTCCTTCAACATGGCGCTCTGAAATTCATTTCCGGGTCATTACCGGAGGACCGAGGAGTCGAGGAGGGGAAATTAGAGTATTGAGAAACCTCTTTTGAGGGCAGTGATTAGCAGGTGAACCAGAGCAGACAGGCGTGAGAGGCAACACCAGACACACTACTATCAGCAGTCAGGGCTGCTTATCTGGTTCTCACCGACCGAAGAAGAGTTAAATATTAAAGGAGAGTATTACAAAAGCTAACCCTATGGTTACAGATAAAACTGAGCGGAAAAAACAACACTGCATGTGATTCTTGCGGGAAGATGAAAGCAACCATTTTTCTTTCCTGCTGGGGTTAAAACAACAGGAATAATAAAAACACGGCAAGTTCAGAGGGGTTACAAAGCGGGAACAAGGTTATCTGTACAGTTGCAGTAAAACTGAGTAGATTACATTTAATGAAGGCGGATTTACTTTGTTGAATTCTTTGGATAATTGTAGCAGGTGAATGAATGGGAATGTTGTGATCCATGTGAACAAGTGGAGATGCAGGTACTCACTCTTCATCGCAACACTGGGGGTTTTCTCAGTATACTGAATGGGCCCCTGGCTCTCAGTTGACTCCACACCGTCACCATCTCCCTTCTTCTGCTCCACCTCCTGCCATGCTGCAAGTAAAAAACAAACATATTTACTAAATTACCTCATCATTTGAATTGCTTCCTGCATGTACTTTTTCCTTTTTTTTCAGTTCTGGAAATGAATCAAAGCATCAGCTGACCTTGAGCTGTCCCCGCTTAAGATAATATAAATAGTTGTAAGAAAGCTAAACTGTTTAATGGTGTTTGTGTTTTTTGCTGTGACTGAAGGTTTTCCAGCTTCACCCCCCTGATAAGCCTCAAGGTTTTGGCTCTGTTCAAGTCTGAAGACCCTTCCACAAACTTCAAGCAACACATTATCAACTTCCAGTAAAACTGTAAGATTGGATTTCACATACCACCAAACCATTTGTATGTGTATATGGGATATTTTATGCAGACTTGTTTTGAATTTATTTGTATTGTTTTTTGTCTTTTTTGTGAACATGGTCAGCTGGAGTGAGACCCTTCAGATTTTCTATCGTCCTACAGAAGAGGTTAATAGATGGGTGAGTGCACCGTTCACATCCATTCTGACCTGGACAAGAAAGCTTGCAAGAATGATGTGCATTTCAGCTTTTAACAACGAGGCTTGTCACTAAGATCAAGGACCTGGTATAAATCTGTGTATGGAGACCCCGGGTGTTGAAGGTGGTGTGGTGTCACCCTCATTCTCAATATCGGTGCACCGCAGGGATGCGTTCTGAGCCCCTTACTGTACTCCCATTACAAACAGGAGTATAGCCACTTGTACAACACATCTGGGTTTGTTTCTGGTCTCAGACAAAACTAGAAACAGAGCGCAGACCTCCACCAAGGCCAATACTGCATTCACATGCATAAAAGGACGCCACAAAGTTCACAAAATTCTGTGCTGGCAGCGGCCCATGAGAACCTCAGATAACCTCTTCAGCTCTGCAAGACATTTATTTGCTAGAAGTGATACTAGCCATCTCCTATTTTTCACACCATATCTTATTGTCTAAATCAGGGGTAGCCAACGCGGTGCCCGCGGGCACTAAGTCGCCCGCAGGGGGGAAATTGGTCGCCCGCGTGCATGTTCTAAAAATAGCACAAGTCACCATGGAGCCCCGTCTAAAAAAAATATTGAATACATTTTTAATTTTTAAAATGACAATATTGAATATAACATTTTAAAAGCACACATTTTGTATGTACATATGTAAGTGAAATGGAGATTTGGTGCGGATCTCAGCCTACCACTGACGCTCAACCAGAAAACATCAGCAGTTAGCTGTTAGCAGTTAGCAAACAGAGATCACAGCTCCTCATATCTTTTCAGAAACTGGACAAAAGTTAAACAAGTACAAACCACAGACTGTCTGTGTCATGGCGAATACAGTCGCTGGTTTATTTATGTCTGTAGGCCGTTAT